CATTGAAAGGGTGAAAAAAGACGATTGCTGTGTACAAATGCGACGAATGAACATTAGTTGCATAACAAGAGAATAAGTCCCTACTCCCGTGGGTATGACTTCAAATTTATGTCTGATAGCGTTGCCGACGTTGATGTATTTCCGACCATTCTATTATAAAAGTGCGGGAGGTTCGCTCCACTAGAATGGCGATTCATGTACATGCGCGTGTCGTTAGACCTCCAATTAGTGGGTTTCAGGTTGTTCGATGTACGGGCAGCTAGTAAATACGTCAGTTATATATGACCTGTGATAACCATATATCCCCAATAATGAACGGTAATGAATAAGCCATTGACTCAACCAACAGCTTTTGAGAAGACAAGAGTCAGTTTGCATTTTTTACTGTCTCAGTCGATGGATGTTTTCTGAAAAATACCTAGATATTGTTACGGTGCTCTTAAAAATCCACTATTCAGTGTTCGAATAATATACCGCCGGAGTTGATGGTACACACATTTTGAAAATTCAAACTAGCATTAGTTTTAAGATTGTTTTTCTGTTAATCCAGTTCCGAATTTTGATAAATGATGCATTTCCCATCTTGCCACTCCTTTGTGGATTAGATCGTCAGATCGCGGGCTTGGAAAAATATCTCTTATGAACACTACCTGATTGTGTTTAAGTATCCGGTTAGTATATCGATACCTCATGAAAATATGAAAATGGAGATAGTAAAATTATTAATTATCAACATCACTAATTCTTTCCCGAAACGGTTATGTTTATTTATGTGTGCTGTAAACCTCCTATTAGATTACCTTATTTACTGATTCTTTTTTATTTGTTTAAGTACATTTACGTATTTTAATAATTTTGTTTTCACTAGGAATAAAATATCCATGTAATCAGTGTGATAGATTATATACATCTAGATTTCATTTAAATGAACATCTGAGAGCTAATCATAAAGGTAAGTTATGTTAGTGTGATATTAGTGTTCTTCAATGAAATCGTTTACTACATGTATTCCTATCAAATCATCATTGAGGATACACTTTTCATCCACGTCATTATTACTTGTTTCATTAACTTTCAATAATTGGACTACTTTAACCGACCTTACTTCCTTATAAGGGGTGTCTCAACATGTTAACCATTCTGATTGTCTATTGTCTGATGTGCTATGACACATATCAAGTTATTGATGTTATAATAGGATAGAAGTTCTCTGGGTATCATAGTAATCTTAGCTTTTGTCAAACATTACCCTTGATCCAGTAATTTTTATTTCTAGTCTTATTTAGTTTGAAATGTTGCTTCATAATCATCCAATTTTCTTATACCTAATGTGCTAAAACTTTGCTGGTCATTGCGTCTCACAGAACATTCGGAAAGCCATCACATTCCGTTGTATCGTGAATTAAATGAAATAAATAATTTGTATTAGTATTGTATTCAGACTCAGTGTTCTGGAAGTGTTATTTGTCTCGAAACTTAAAGGCATTAAATTCTATTTGTTTCAGGAGTTGTAGGTATCCAAGTGTACATATATAGGTCAATTTTCATTGTGTATGTCAAGAAATACTATTAATAAACATTTAACAGTCAGATTTGATTGGTGTTGTTGGTTGCTTGTATCTTCCCATCATTGTGTAGGACTGCAATTGATCAGTCTCTTGTTGGAATATGTGCATCCTGTGCAGGTTGCCTCGATATTGCCATAAGTCACAAGCTTTTTGAGCAATGATCGATGGTAGTTAGCAGTGGAATCCAGGACGCGCATTTCGAATGTCCAACCACCGACTGCCTCGACCTACGATGTTTTATAGTGTAGGAGTAGGTTGGAATTAAGCTAGGGGCGGCCAGGCCAAAAAATGGCACAAATCCCTGGTTAGGATCCGCGAGACGATAGCCACCGATCGTTAGAGACCCTAAATGACATGGCTCAAAATCGTCTGCAATGGCACAGGTGCATCCACTCTTTGTATTCTCCCAACTTCTGATTTGAATTCTTCGTGTCCCTTTTTTTCTTTTTCCAAACTTATTTCACTAGATTATACTCCTTGAATAACATCTTCAAACCCTAATCTTTTCGATTACTGCTTATACTTTTACTACCTCTACTACTACGTGATTTTAATCGACAATTGTATCTTTGTGCTAATGTGGTATGGCAACTCGAACTGATGTGCGTACGTACGAAGTTCTACGTAGTCACTAACTGACTGATTTTGTCCTATTTCGGTCTCGTCAGCTGGATGTACCTGCGTCGCAGAGTCATATAGTGATAATTTATTACCATCCACTAGTATATTTACTGATTTTGTTTAAGAATTTTTTTACTTTTTTTAATGACATAGGTTTTATTAATTCGTATGATTTTTTTAATTAGGTGTAAAATTTACCTGTGATCTGTGTAACAAAGAATTTGCTTATAAAGTAGGCTTAGATGAACATAATAAGAATATTCATGAAGGTTAGTCTATTATTGTGGTACAAATTTTTATGTATGTACTTTGCTGAACTTCTAATGATGATTCACATATAATTCTTCTATAGCTTCTGCAGAATCTAACTTTTTAACATATGTAGATATGAATCTTCTGGTACGGAAACTGTTTGAGTCGGTTTAGTCATCTGGATAGAATCTCAGCCTAAACAGAAATACTGTGATGAATACTTGAAAGATTGATAATGATTAAGAATATTCTTTTCAGGTCTTGAAGTTATAGAATTTTGAATAATATTTTGCTGTTTTATGTGAATAAACTGTTACTGAAAGAAACATTTGTTGTGACTTTATATCCGGCTTTTTATCACGCGATTTATTCACCAATCAAAATACGACTTCCACAATCTTAGCACTGTGCTAAATCAATGACGTTGGACCGGTATGAGCAGCCTAGCGTCCTTACTGGTCCTATGTCCGCTTAGCCCGTCCGCTTGAGTCCAGAATTCCAATACCAGCTTCCACTATGTGAATCATACATTTCAAACATACTGTGTTTATATATCAAACAAACAGACCGCAACGCTCCATAAAATAAGAAATATCATTTTTACACAATAAAGCCAAAAAGTGGCTGTGAACGTGCGAGGCAGTAGTTAATAAACTGAACATAGCTTAAGAACAGTAAATCGTACAATAATAAATTATAGGTCAGAACAAAGCTTATAACAAGGGGAATATAGATATACGTAATCTAGTTACTGAATATTTATACCATGAGAATGCATAAATAATATTAGTTCATTAATAGATCTCAGTCGTTACTCGTAATGTAATCTTCACTAGGATATAACAATATTTGTTATAACTTGTGGTCTGAGTTAATATATACGTAATGATAACGTCAATTAGAAAGCAGTGAATTATCGGTCGGATCAATGACGCCTAAAACCCGTGCGAGCAGTGTAGAGTACTTATCGGTCCTGCTTCCTGCCTAGCCCAGTCAGCTAGGTCCAGAACACCAATCTCAGCCTCTGCAATATCAATCATTTATTTCAAACATACTCGGTTTATAATGCCAACCAGACAGACAACATCGTACTATAGCATAGGAAACAACATTTGTACAAGATTTAGCCAAATGTGGCTGTGAATGTGGGAGGTAGTGAGTGGTTAATAGACAGGGCATAATTCAAGAATGATAAATTGTATAATGGTAGTTCATAGGTCAAAATAAAGCTCATAATAAGAGGGACATGAATATGAATAGTTTAGTTATTTAAAAATTATACGATGAAAATATTTACTTGCTTACTTACGCCTGTTACTCCTAATGGAGCATAGGCCGCTCACCAGCACTGTCCAACCCACTCTGTCCTGGGCCTTCTTTTCTAGTTCCATCCAATTCTTGTTCATTTTTCTCATGTCTATCTCCATTTCTCGGCGTAATGTGTTCTTTCATATTCCTCTTTCCTTTGGCCTTGAGGATTCCATGTGAGGGTTTGTCTTGTTACGCAGTTGGGTGCCTTTTTCAATGTGTGTCCTATCCACTTCCAACGCTTCTTCCTGATTTCTTCCTCCGCTGGGATCTGGTTTGTTCTTTCCCACAGTAGGTTGTTGCCAATAATGTCTGGCCAACGGATCTGAAGTATTTTGCGTAGACAATTGTTAATAAACACCTGTATTTTCTGGATGATGGCTTTCGTAGTTCTCCAGGTTTCTGCCCCATATAGTAGAACTGTCTTGACATTTGTATTGGAAATCCTGACCTTGGTGTTGGTTGACAGTTGCTTTGAGTTCCAGATGTTCTTCAGTCGTAAATATGCTGCTCTTGCTTTGCCGATCCGCTCCTTCACATCTACATAAGATCCACCGTGTTCAACAATGATGCTGCCCAGATATGTAAAGGTTTTTACATCTTCCAAATCTTCTCCGTCATTTGTGACTGGATTGGTGCATGCTGTGTTGTATCGTATAATCTTGCTTTTCCCTTTGTGTATATTGAGACCTACTGCTGCTGAGGCTGCTGCTACACTGGTCGTCTCCTGCATTTGTTGTTGCGTTTGGGATAGAAGGGCCAGATCATCTGCGAAGTCTAGATCGTCTAACTGCATCTTAGATGTCCACTGTATCCCGTGTTTCACTTCAGATGTTGACGTCCTCATGATCCAGTCGATCACCAGGAGAAAGAGGAAGGGTGAGAGTAAGCAACCTTGCCTGACACCTGTGTTTACTTCGAACGACTTTGTCAACTGTCCTCCATGCACGATTTTGCAGTTTAATCCATCATATGAGTTCTGTATGATATTGACTATCTTCTGAGGCACGCCGTAGTGTCGAAGAAGTTTCCATAGTGTTGTTCTGTCCACGCTATCAAATGCTTTTTCGTATTCAATGAAGTTGATGTAGAGTGATGAATTTCATTGAATTGATTGTTCCATAATGATCCGTAGAGTTGCGATTCGGTCTGTATAGGATCTATCCTTACGGAATCCTGCCTGTTGGTCACGAAGTTGGGCGTCTACGCAGTCTTTCATCCTGTTTAGCAATACCCTGTTGAAGACTTTACCCGGTATTGAGAGAAGAGTGATGCTCCTGTAGTTATCACACTCGCTGAGATCGCCTTTCTTTGGTATTTTGATCAGAAGTCCTTCTTTTCAGTCTTTCGGTACTTGTTCCTCATCCCAAATCTTATTGAAAAGAATGTGGAATATCCTTGCACTTGCTGCTACGTCTGCTTTCAGTGCCTCTGCTGGAATGTTGTTTGGTCCTGCTGCTTTGCCACTCTTGATTTGTCTGATGGCCATGCTGATTTCTTCAATTGTTGGTGGGCCAACATTGATTGTGAGGTCCGTGGGTGCTGCTTCGATGTTGGGTGGGTTCAGTGGGGCTGGTCGATTCAGGAGTTCTTTGAAGTGTTCTACCCACCTGTTTCGTTATTCTTCAATGTTGGTGATTACTTTGCCTTCCTTGCTTTTCACTGGTCGCTCCGGTTTACGATAATTTCCAGGGAGTTTCTTTGTCATGTCATACAATTGTCTCGTGTTTCCTTCTCTTGCAGCCTTTTCCGCCGTCGTTGCTAAATCTCCCACATATTTACGTTTGTCGGTTCTGATACTCCTCTTCACTTGTTTGTTTACTTCTGCGTATTCAGTTTGTGCCTTGGTTTTCTCTGCTCTTGTTCGGCTGGTATTGATTGCTGCTTTCTTGTTCCTCCTTTCTTGAATCTTATCCAGTGTATCAACAGTGATCCATTCCTTGTGATGGTGCTTCTTGTGGCCCAGAACCTCATGACATGTTGAAGTGATTGCTTCTTTGATCCCCTTCCAGTTGCTCTCCACAGTAGTTCCTTCTCCATTGAGTAGATCATGAAAGGCCTGGAACTTGTTGCTGAGAACTATCTTGAATTTGTTGAGTTTGTCAGTATCCTGAAGAAAGGCCGTATTGAACTTTTGTGATATTGTCCGCCCCATCGTCCAGTGCTTCTTGAGTTTCAATTTCATCTTGGCGACCAGCAAGTGATGATCTGAGGCTATATCAGCTCCTCTCTTGGTTTTCACGTCCTCCCGAACGTTTTGTTGATGCAAATATGGTCGATTTGGTTTTGCATGGTGTGATCCAGTGAATTCCATGTGGTTTTGTGCATGCGTTTATGTGGGAATACGGTACCGCCTATGACCAGTTTATTGAAGGCACATAGGTTTGCGAATCTCTCACCATTTTCGTTTCTGTCTCCCAGTCCGTGTTGTCCCATGATGTCTTCATATCCAGTGTTGTCCATTCCAACTTTGGCATTGAAATCTCCCATCAGAATGGTCAGGCCCTTTGTTGGGCACTTCTCGACGATTGACTGCAGCCTATCATAGAACTGATTTTTAGCGTCTTCATTGTAGTCGTTGGTAGGTTCATAGCATTGGATGATGTTCATTGAAATGCCCTCTTTCTTTGTTTCGAAGGAGGCTTTGATGACCCTTGGTCCATGAGATTCTCATCTTCTAAGTGCGTTTTGTGCTCGTTTGGACAGCATCGATGCAACTCCTTGTGTATGTGGGGCATTTACTTCTTCATGGCCGGAGTATAACAGGAGCTCTCCTGAAGTTAGTCGTTGTTGTCCAAGTTGCGTCCAGTGTGTTTCACTGATCCCAAGCACCTCTAGGTTGTAACTCCTCATTTCTGCAGCGATTTGGAAGGCTCTTCCGGTGTCCCACATTGTACGAACATTCCATGTACCTAAGTAAATGGTTGCTCTGGTTGTCAGAAGGGGCATCGGCCTCGTAACTTCCGAAGGAATTCGGCTTTCATCATGAGGCGTCATAGTTCTTCTAAATGAAGACCTTCTGACTACCAAGGCAGAGTTTAAAAGGTTCGAATAATTTTTTCTGGTTAGCGTTTTTTAGCGAGTTAGTTTTCTACGGGATGGGGTCGCTAACCCTATGCCCAACCCTCCTCCTTTATCTAGGATTGGGACCAGCAGTAGCCCCAGGAGGGACTCCGGGCGGAGTTGATAAAAGTATTTATTGGTTCGTAAATGGATCCCAAGAGTTACTATTCATTATTCTTATCGGGATATAATATTATTTTAATGAAAATGACTAGTGTTGGTCGTCAGTGTTTTCTACAAGTAGAATGTGGTTTGTAGCTCTTGCTATCCTGTCGGAGTACTTAAATTTCAATTGCTGTGATTGTTTTCACCCTTCATACCATAATTATAGTTCAAGGTCTTCTATGGGAATGACTGTTCTTTTTTTCTTATCCTTTTCTCTTTTGAAATGGTTATGTATATCTAGGATGATATGTGTACTTCCAACCTTTAGTACATAACCACATTTATTCATTTTTAATTTGTTTCATAAAAATTTATCAGTATTCATACTTGTTTTTTTTTCATTAGGAATAAAGTATCCATGTGACCAATGTAGTAAGACGTTTTCGTCCAAATGTATGTTAAATAACCACGTGAAAGCTATTCATAAAGGTATGTTAGGGTTTTGAAAGAGACGTTCTACTGTGAAACTGGTTCGTCTCATACATTCTCATCAGAAAAATTGTTTCGTGTATGCTTTTCATTTGAATTGTTTTAACATGTTTCTTCGGTTTCTAATGTTTCAATCAGTTAGTAGTCAGTTTTAATACTCTGCTTGGAATGTAATACTTATATACATGGGTTTCAGTTGTCACGCCACATTTAGCGCTGCACGACAAGACTATCTAGACCAATTCTAATGTAGTGGTAGTAGTCAAAATGATAAATAATAGTTGAAAAGTTTTAGGTGTGGAATAAAAAAGTATTTAAAGACTTCAGGACTTTAGAATCTAAGGTTAGGAAGAAATGTAAAAACACTTGAGCCACTATGATCGATTCTAATCCATGTCTGCGCAGCCACTGGTTTCGGTAATCGTTCATACCACGAGCAAATAGTCTACACCTACGTACATGGCTTAATCCATTTGGTAATGACCTCATGGGTTGATTCGTTTACGTTTGTCATGCCATATCTTTCAGCCTAATTTTACACCGTGCAACATCGTCCATCGAAGTAGGAGCTTTCGAGCATACATAATACATGTCTCGACCACCTGAGTTAATGAAAACTAATTATCCTGAATATTGATATCGAATTTATATAAGTATATATTTTGTTAATTATTGTTTTTTTTCTCTCATTAGGAATAAAACTTTCTTGTAAGCAATGCGATAGAAAGTTTAATTGTAAATCCAATCTAAACTTACATGTAAAGTCTGCTCATGAAGGTAATTTCTATTGGTTGGTTATAATTATATTCTATCATGAAATCGTATTTTACGCGCAGTTTCATCAAATATTGATCATACACATCACATTGAAATCACTCTTCATGTTTTTTGGACTTTTAATTATTTGGCATCTCATATTGATAATATTCCACTGGAAGTTCTGTTTCACGAAAGATAAATTGGTGTTATAGTAGGTTAAAAAACACGAATTTCAACTAATAAATCGTAGATCGTAATCCTCTCTCACCTTTCATTTGGTCACATATTGTGAAGCTCGAACTCTTAGGAATCACTTATTTTTTAGTTGGATTATCATTTTAAATAGTTAAACATATTTTACCAAATCTCAGCTTTCTCGGTTCTTATAGGTATATTTTTCCAATGTGATGAGTGTGATAAGAAGTTCACTGCGAAATGTCCACTAAATAAACACATACAATCAATTCATCAAGGTATAGTCTTTTTTTTACAATCACACAATTACATTTACGTGTATTTTTGTGGATTTTAATATGCCTATACACCCTGTTCACTAATCCCATTTTTATTTCACTCTGTTTTTTTATTGACGTTTTCTTACTATAAGAAAAGTACGAGTAATAAAATTTTCGAAAGGTATGAACTACATGATTATAAGATAATGGGAAATGAGCTTGTTCAATAAGGAGGGATTCTTTTGAAATTTGTTAGAATGTATTGATAAATCAAGGTATTCATATTTTTACTAGTATATTAACATTATTGGTTTGTGGCTAGTTGTATTACTCGATCGTATAAATTGAAGTATGTTGTTTCCTCTGTAAGGATCCTTAAAGTTTGTAATCCAAAGTGTCTAATCGATGATGGATTATAATGGCTTTATGATTCAGTTTACCATGGAAACGAGTGATTGAGTAAAGTCGTATTCCACTGATTGTTCTGTTGCTTTTTAATAATAGATCTAAGTTACGTTTTAATTACAAATGATTGAGATTCCTCTAATGCGACCAGTTTCCATCGAGCAGTTCATTAATGCGGTAGCTGACACACAACACTTCAATAATAGTCGGTAAAATCGAAGGAACGAAAGGATAAGATTGGAGTGATGAAAGTTATATACATCAATCATGTTTCCAATTTACTTTTCAGATTAAGATTTATTTTTTATTTTGAAGTGAAAAAAGATGATCCATAAATGGTGTTGTCACATGTCAGTTTGTTTGTTTATTTAACGTCTCATGGTATTGAATCTCAACTTGAATTCTGCACAATAAACCGATGGTTTGAAATATTGATTTCTAGTTGGGCCACTCCATATCATAGGCGTTGAACGAAATGTGGTTGTTGGAACGTTCTTGGATTACGTAAACATTTACTTCTTCGCTGAGTTACACTATTGATTTGTATATTATGGTTATGTCTTTGAAAATTAATAAAATATGTGTTATATTATGATAAGCTGAGCATCGTACATTTTCCATCTGAACTGACATGTGTTGTTCTGTTGACTAACCCTCTCAGGAAACTTTTGCACCATTATTTACTTTAATATGTCTATACTGCCTATAGTTTTGTTCCTTTAGATAAAAAAGCTTCCAAAAGCTAATATCTGAAAGTAATTATTAGTCACCCTCTTTATGTATCTTTTCAGTTGGCTTTCTGATTGACCGAAACCAATTGATTTTAACCTATGTTTACCTCGACTCGCTCGCTTCAATAGCTGTATGCATCCTGGAATTTGTAGTCGGTTGTACACTTTCCATGACAAACACACTATCTGTTCATTATCTTATCGTTTGAGCGGAGCAATACAGTGTTAAATATTATGATACAGTTTATCAGTCCGACAGAGAACAATTTAAACAAGTCCAACTAGCAGGCTTATATGATAAGGTTTAATCTAATATATCTAAACACATTTGACATCCTACCAATCCCAATCCTTAGTTATTTCATCTTAGATCCATTAGTCACTGATGTTGACTATGCAGTTGGCTTTCTATTGTTTATCTCATTTTTCTTATGTAACGGATGATCTCTTTCACAGAATCATTATGGTCTGATCTATACACGCAAGCTTATTTTACTATGATTCGTAATTGAAGTGAATTGATCTATTATCCTACTAGACTTCTTATTTATTTATTTCCTTTTAGGAGTGAGGTTTGCTTGTGGACAATGTGACAAGAAATTTACAAAACCGAGTACATTAAATGATCATGTTAAAGTTATCCATGAAGGTATGATTAAAGAAAAAATCAAATATGATTTATTATTTTGACTATTTAAAAAAATATTTTCAGCATGCAGATTTGTGGTGATTATAGTATTTTCACAGTTGAATCCACAAGTCGATCTAAGCTAGACCATCATTAAAAACCTCAAAGTACTGAATGGCCGATCCGTCCTATTATGGTACTCTTCAATAGTGCACATTCATGATGCCACACGCGTGACTCGAACTCAGAGCCTTCGGTTTAGCACTCAAACGCTTAACCTCTAGACCACTGAGAAAGTGTAACCAGTGGAGACAGTTATCCACCTCAGACAATGGATGGAGGGTTGAGCAAAATTATGAGTTTATTGGAGTCAGACATTAACGCCATTGGATGCTAACTCAGGGTTCTAGAGGTTAAGCGTTTCCACTGGAGACTGAAGGTCCTGAGTGCGCGATGGTGGGTGCGCACTCCTGTAGACTCTCATACACTAGAATGAGACGACCATCCAGTGCTTCGGGGTTTTCAATGATGATCTAGCGTAGATCGATTCGTGAATTCAACTGTAAAAAGTATTTGTTTATACATATTGAATGATAAAATATTTTCACTATTAAACTAATTCAAATGTAAAATTCATTTAAGATTCCACTATCTTGTTACATAGAATATGTTAACTGTTTAGTCTTTCAATTTGTCTTTCAATTAATGTACATATGAATATTTGAATGTTTCACTAAGAATTGTTTTGAGTCTACTTTTGAACGAATGAGAACTGTTTGATTTATGAGGGTAAATACTGACCACGTCTGATTCAACATCCTTTAGTTTTTCATCAGTGAATTATTCCTTTTATTTTCCAGTTCAATAGATTGTTGTAAAGATTAATTAAATATAATGAAGAGAGTTTTCTTAATTATTGTTATATCCCAATAAGAATACTGAATCGTAACTTTTGGGATCCATTTATGGATTAATACTATGCGTATATTTTTATCGTATGATTGTTAAATAACTAAACCATTCATATTCATGTCTCTCTTATTATGAGATTTATTTTGACCTATGAACTACCATTATACAATTTACCATTCTTGAATTATGCCCTGTCTATTAATCACTCACTACCTCCCACATTCACAGCCACATTTGGCTAAATCTTGTACAAATGTTGTTTCCTATGTTATAGTACGATGTTGTCTGTCTGGTTGGCATTATAAACCGTGTATATTTTCCTTGAAAAAGCTTGGACCAGATTCTCAGGCGAAACGTTGGATTTACTTAAAATTCATTCGCTGAGATTTTGCAAATATATTCTTCTTTTTAATAAACCGAGTATGTTTGAAATAAATGATTGATATTGCAGAGGCTGAGATTGGTGTTCGGGACCTAGCTGACTGGGCTAGGCAGGAAGCAGGACCGATAAGTACTCTACACTGCTCGCACGGGTTTTAGGCGTCATTGATCCGGCCGATAACTCACTGTTCTCTAATTGATGGTATCATCACGTTATACATTAAAAGGGTACATAGGCCACAAGTTATAACAATTAGATAATGTTTTTTTCCAATTTGTCTGAGATTTAAATCATTGCTCTTGTATTGATGTTATCTAGTCGTTATAAAATTTAGGAGATTGTTTCTTCTATTGACAATTACATATTTTATTTTATTTTATAACTGGAAAGCATAATCCATAACTCAATGTCATTATTTCATCTACGATTAAATTAAGTGTCTGAAGTCGATCTACGTATGGCGATGTTGTAGCCAGGTGTTCTTGTTTATCGTTCCATCTTATTTTATTAAATCTTAATGTTGCTTTCCTATTATATGATGAAAGGAATTCAGTAGATGCATTATTCCTATCTTTGTTATCATTATCATTACTGTTAGTTTTATTATTATTATTATTATCATTACTGTTACTGCTGAAAGTATTACCTTTCTATCTGATTCGTGTTGATCTTTCAGTTTGTCGAACAATCTTCACATTCCTTATTTTAGGATTTAAATTTCGCTGTCAGTTCTGTGAGAAATCATTTTCAACAAAGAAGTATCTTAGAAAACACGTGAAAACTAATCATGAGAGTGAGCGTTATTTCCAGTTCATTTATATTTATTTAGTATTTATCAACTAAATTGAAACGCACATAGTTCTGAATTATATAGACTTTCTATTTTGATTCAATTTCCAATGCATTGTAACGAACATTTATTATCTTCACTGAGGATACGATGCCTCACTAGTCACAATTTCTTACTGGAAGTTTAGTAGAGCAATTACTCGCAAGGAATTTACAAATATGCCCCAAATCAGTGACGTATTTGATGATTGTAGGGATTTATTTGGCTTGATTTTCACAGTTTGTTTAGGAAACCGCCTTGAAATAAACTGTGAGCAATCCAGTTAAAGCTCACCTCTTAACACTATGAATGAGAAAGACGATCGCACTTCAGTACTCTTTTTCTACTTTTTTCGATTGAGGTCATGAACCGCTTGATATTAGACCACCGTTGGAAACCTGGAAGGACTGGACGGCCGTTTTGTCTTATTGTGGGACTCCTCAGCAGTACGCATCCGGGATCCCGCTCGCGGGATCTAAACCCTAGGGCCTTAGGTCTCGCGCGCAAACGCTTAACCTACTGGATCACTGAGCTGGCATCCAATGGTGTTAGTGTCTAACATCAACCAATCCACGTAATTGCGCGACCATCTTCTATTGTGCTGAGGTAGATACCTGTCTCTACCCGACACGGATTAGCTCTACCGGTCACGGCTTCTCACTAGAACTCTGAGAATTTTCTCGCGAAGCTAGTCACTAGTGAGCACATGTTAATTGTCAGTGGATGCGCATTGCTGAGCAGCCCTACAATAGGACGGAACGGCCGTTCAGTGTTTCCAGGTTTCCAACGGTGGTCTAACATCAATCGGTTCATGATCTCATTCAAAATGTTAATAATCTCCACAACCTTCTACTTTTTTCGTGAGATTTTCTGAAATATTTTGAATGTGTAACATTTTTCGTGATTATCATTTAATCTATCTAAATATTCATCTTTTAAGTATTCTGTTTGACTATTGTTGAATTTTTAGACACAATAGTTGTCGTAGTCAGTGTATCCATTTGTTTCGTTGTTTTAGTATTTTGATTTCTGTGGCTTCCATGAATTAATTGCTGATTAGTTTAGCGCAATATGAATAAAATGTGAATACATTCAATTTATCCATATATTCACATATACTTTCAACAAACAACATTGAATGCCTAACTGATAAAGCGTCCACTCTTCTTCAACTGACTCTTTGAATTATGGATTTTGTAACGGTCCTGTTCATTTGATATATATATATATATTGTATGGTGGTATTATTGATGTATTTTATTCATTATGGTTCTATTTAATTTTAGATTATTTTTTGTGATAGTCTGTTTTTGAAATGAATTTATTCTTTTAAGGAGATGAATCTTAATGGGACCAAACGGAAGATGTCGTTTGAGAAAACTCATTAATAGTGAATTCTTTCTACATTTTGCGATTTTTTAGTCATAAGTTTTCTAGAAATTTATTTAATGTAAGTGTGTGAAACTTTAATTATATACTTAACTATGTATTATTATTTATAATATGCTAGCAAGAGTGTTAGTATGACTGTTATTTTAGTGTTTCAATGATAAGTCTTATATGTTTAATGGTTTTCTGGAACATTAATTTGTCACTCGACCCAATAATACCACTGAATACATTTGGAAATCACTTTGACCGAAATACTGATTTGGACGAATAATTTTATGATTTATGGATGATTTTTAGATGCACCTTACTGAGGAAAATATAAACGGGATATATTTTTATTTACAACTTATAGTGTTGGTGTCATTAAAACGTATAGTAGAAAATGATGTCAAAGCGTTGAATCACTGTGATATATATATATATATATATATATATATGCTTTTGAATTAGTATGTACTACTTTAGTTACATAGTGCATACTGATTATGTAGGGAAATTCTTTGTTTGGAAATCTGCACTGAAATTAATCTTATTATTGATCGAGATTTATTTAATTGTATATTTAGGTTTGTGATAATCAAGTATTTTTTTACCATATTCCAAATGTAATGATCAAAAATTACTACTGATATATGAAGCTTTGAATTTTACCAACTTCATTACTACTATTTGAAAATGAGAATGAATGATTCGATGTAGAACAACAATGATATCTTCACAATTAGACTGTCAAGCTGATAGGACGCAATACTACGAAAAGCATCCATTTGATGAGCTATAAATCATTTGAATCATTTTAAGTTTCTTCTTCTTATTATTATTATCATCATCATCATCATCATTTATTGTCTGTTACCTTACTACTCTGAAATCAAATGCTGTTTAATAAACGAATTAGTTGTTTTAATAAATATATACTAAACTAACTGATATATTGGAATTGATAACATGCACATAGGATTTATCCCCAAATCTCCAATCAAATAGATATTTTGTTTATTTTTTATTTTTTTATTTATATATTTATCATCATTGTACGAATAAAGTCATTGTTTGAAACAATTAGATGCTTTAATAAATTTTGATTATGCGATGTGATCTGTTTGAAAAATATCTGCCGAGTCTTTATCGACGTTCAAATTTTCTGTTATACAAAACACTACCAGCCATAGATACAAGAGCTAATGTGGTGTCCGCTATCTGACTCCATGATGAATAATGTTCATTGAACGCCATAACAATCTAACGTTTCATTCCACACATTATACTAAGGTTAATCCCGTTCGGGCAACAACGTTGCTATAAAACCAAATACGAAGTTGTGTGAGTGTATTTCAGTCAGACAGCAAGACGGAAAGCGCAGCATAGAAAGGTATTGTGCCAACTTCATTTAATTTAAATGTGATGCAAATTTATGAGCATGAAAGAAACATATATGCATACACTTAAGATTATACACACATGCTCATGGCCGCACGTATGTATGACTAAATAACAGGTTGTAATGATTTATCCGTCAAAAGAAGGGTTAATCGTGTAGGCGTATG